AGATAGATTATCTCATCTTATGAACTAGTCAAATATACTAAGTAAACTTGAAGTTTTCATACTGTACTATAACATTAGAACAACATATAGGTGTATAAAAATATACATAACGATGTTCTTTTTAACTCTTTTATTATCCCGATATTCACCCTTCAAGTTCATAGTATTAGAGCAACATATAGGTGTATAAAAATATACATAACGATGTTCTTTTTTAACTTTTTTATTATCCCGATATTCAACCTAAACGTTCATAGCATTAGAGCAACATATAAGTATATAAAAATGTAAATAAAAATATATATTTTTTCTTTTATTATCCCAATTTTTAGTACAGTATATATAGTTTTTATTTGCAAATGATAAAACATATTCATATGCTTACATATCAGTATATAGTATATTTATATACATATATTATTTGTGCTTTAATAATATGTATTAAAAAAAGTTTCAATAACCTGATATCAAAACAAGAAAAGAAAACCTTTTTTTTTTTTTTCTTTTTTTTCGTTTTTTTTTATTTTTTTTATTTTTTTATTTTTTTTTTTTGTTTGTTTTTTGGTTTTTTTTCTTTTACTTTTAGTTGTGTTCACTTTCCTCATTTTCCTCACTTTCCTCCTTCTGAACTTCTAGTTTTTCTGGTTCTAATAAATGTTGTAGAAAGATTTCAGTATTTGCAAGAGTCTCTATAATTTCAATATCATCAGCATTAGGATCTTGATAGTTAACATCAGATGTGCTGATATTAGACTCTTGACGACTAGGAACTCCAGAATTTTCTCCTTCCGATATTAAAGAAGGATTCCTATAGGGTTCTAAACCAGAAAAAGTATATATAAATAAAATTACTTTATATAGCTAGTATCTATTACTATTTTTCAATACATACCAACAATTTTCTTCTGCTTTCTTTTATCAATATCGGCTTCTTCTTTGTCAACTTCCATTTGCTTTTCTTTATCAACTTCGGCTCCTTCTTTGCCAACTTCTTTCTGCTTTCCATTATCAACTTCAGCTCCTTCTTCGCCAACTTCCTTCTGCTTTCCTTTATCAACTTCAGCTCCTTCTTCGCCAACTTCCTTCTGCTTTCCTTTATCAATATCAGCTCCTTCTTCATCAACTTCCATTTGCTTTTCTTTATCAACTTCGGCTCCTTCTTCGCCAACTTCCTTTTGCTTTCCGTTATCAACTTCAGCTTCTTCTTCGCCAACTTTCTTCTGCTTTCTTTTATCAATATCGGCTCCTTCTTCATCAACTTCCATTTGCTTTTTTTTATCAACTTCGGCTCCTTCTTCGCCAACTTCCTTCTGCTTTCCGTTATCAACTTCGGCTCCTTCTTCCCCAACTTCCTTCTGCTTTTCTTTATCAACTTCAGCTCCTTCTTTGCCAACTTCCTTCTGCTTTCCTTTATCAATCACAGCTCCTTCTTCGCCAACTTCCTTCTGCTTTCCTTTATGAATTTCTGCTCCTTCTTCGCCAACTTCCTTTTGCTTTCCTTTATCACATTCTGCTCCTTCTTCACCAACTTCCTTTTGCTTTTCTTTATTAGTTTTTTTAATAATTTTATTAAATGTTGCAAAGATTGTTGGTTGGACAAGTGCTTTTTGTCAAATTCAAATTTAATATTTTAATATGATCTTTAGCTGGATTACATTTAGGGATGACAACAGCTGGCTATTTTCGGCTTAGCCGGTCTGCTAAGCCAAAAATAGCCAGCCGTTATCATCTCTAATTACATCTAATTTCCTGATAGTCATTATATTGACAGGCCATTTATCTAACATTACACAAGGTGATAATTTACTAATAATATATGTTAGGTAAATAGCTTGTCAGTGAAATGACTATCGGGAAGATAAGAAACAATGCTATACTTGTAAAAAAGTAGTTCTAATTGGAACTCTTTTTGTTTGAGATCGCTTTGGGAAGTTATTAGGCCTAGCAATAGGCTCATATTCTTCATCTAACTCATCAGGATTTTCTTTATTGGGGGGTCATCAGGATTATCGGGGTTATCATTATTGCTATCGACGCTGTCTGTATCGGTATCGATATCGGTAGATTGGAATATGAGCCAGGCCGATGTATCAGGAGGTGGTGATGAAGGAGCAGAAATTGATAAAGGAAAGCAGAAGGAAGTTGGCGAAGAAGGAGCCATAATTGATAAAGGAAAGCAGAAGAAAGTTGGCGAAGAAGGAGCCGTAATTGATAAAGGAAAGCAGAAGGAAGTTGGCAAAGAAGGAGCTGTAATTGATAAAGGAAAGCAGAAGGAAGTTGGCGAAGAAGGAGCCGAAGTTGATAACAGAAAGCAGAAGAAAGTTGGTGAAGAAGGAGCCAAAGTTGATAAAGAAAAGCAAATGGAAGTTGACGAAGAAGGAGCCGATATTGATAAAGGAAAGCAAAAGGAAATTGGCGAAGAAGGAGCCGAAGTTGATAAAGGAAAGCAGAAGAAAGTTGGTGAAGAAGGAGCCGAAGTTGATAATGGAAAGCAGCAAGAAGTTGGCGAAGAAGAAGCCGAAGTTGATAACGGAAAGCAGAAAGAAGTTGGCGAAGAAGAAGCCGAAGTTGATAAAGAAAAGCAAATGGAAGTTGACGAAGAAGGAGCCAATATTGATAAAGAAAAGCAGAAGGAAATTGTTGGTATGTATCGAAAAATAGTAATAGATACGAGCTATATAAAGTAATTTTATTTATATATACTTTTTCTGGTTTAGAACCCTATAGGAATCCTTCTTTAATATCGAAAGGAGAAACTTCTGGAGTTCCTAGTCATCAAGAGTCCAATATCAGCGCATCTGATGTTAACTATCAAGATCCTAACGCTGATGATATTGAAATTATAGAGACTCTTGCAAACACCGAAATCTTCTTACAACATTTATTAGAACCAGAAAAACTAAAAGTTCAGGAGGAGGAAAGTGAGAAAAATGAGGAAAGTGAACACAACTAAAAGTAAAAGAAAAAAAAAACAAAAAAAAAACAAAAAAAAAAAAAAAAAAAAAAAAAAATGAAAAAAAAGAAAAAAAAGAAAAAAAAAAAAAAAAAAA